ATATATATGACCAAAGTCATATATTAAGGGATACAAGTAGCACTGTTTATCGCTTAAAACAAAGTGGTGGACAAAACGTTTGATGTTTGCTCTATCTCATACAACTTCTCATATTCACATTGTCAGTCGTCTCCCAAGCACTCCTTTCGCAACCAAGCAGAGAGGATTTCGCTTTTGATAATGTATAGGTTGGATTTCTGTGGATGAGTGTTCCTACTCTGATACATATCTGATTTGTATCCGCAAACGAAAGAGGTCCAGGTCGGATTTGAAAAAAAATCGAGGTGTACTGTTCACACTGCATTAAAAAAAAATCTGATGAGTGTCACGTATAGCAGAGTGAAAATGGCCAAAGTTCATTCAATGACTGCAAGATGCAGTCTGCATTCTTGTGGTCCTGTGGTAAGAAAAGAAGCCCAAATCATCATTCTTTTAGCACCCCACTTGACACTTTGTATGTGATGCCTGGATGCTCTGTAGTATGGCCAGATATCGCCATTTTCATCTTGTCTTCCAAAAGCACAATGTCACAAAAGTCTTAGGGTTCGTTCAGTGGTAACTTAGAAGCATTTCTTCGGTTTCCAATGTTCTTTTTTCCCCAAAGATGATGTGTTCTCCGATCACCCCCTTCTCACAAATTAGACTTCAATCTTTTCCAAAGTGTGCTGTCGTGTTTTAATCTGACATTGGGGTGAACGCAGTGGGTTTTCCTTCCACTCCAGTTTAGACGTGCAAATTACAGTAAAGAGTGGTTTACATTTTTGAATAACTGAATGAATGATGGACTTGTGACAAATTACTTTTCCCAGATTAATGAGCATGATTATTGAACCTGTCTCAGTTAAAAGAAATAATAGTAATAACGCATGACGATATATTTTCTCAGAAACTGTGGCACATCAGTTTTTCAGGTGGCATACTAAATTTGTTGTGTCAAGCGCGAGATCTTTTTTTGCCAAGCGAAATACTCAAATTTGCACCCATTGCATGTCACAGTTGCACTGTCTCCTTTTTCCACAATTGAATATTTCCATACTGCAGACATTATCATTAATTAAATGACATTAGTTTCACATTAGCTTCATGCAGAACTACTAGATTTTGCGTAGTGTAAAACAGATAGATAGGTATGTATATAGTAAGGTAACTTACACGTTTTCTGGAGTTACAAACGGTCTCTCCGTTTTGTTTTGCTTTGCTGACTTACTTATATGTTGAACAAAAGTTTGACTCATGAGTGGGCTTTTGTTTTTTGATAACCATGGTGTCCATTCTACCGTCCCTGAGTCTGCTATCTGCTATCTGAAGTTTGGCACCTCGTAGGGATGCTAAGAAGCCCCTTTTTTTCCCGGCCGAGTATAAGTACAAGCATTTGAGTACTTGCTGACAATATTCCCTCTCAGCTGCGCGCATGAGCAATTCTCTCACCCTCTCAGCGCACCCGGTGACAGCTCGGGCGCACCACGCACACACTCCATTTCTACACTCATTCCGTCATTTCCACCCTACTTTAATCTACAAACAGGACACTTCCATTACAGTTTCAGGAGTGCGACCGAGGGTGCGCACTCAGTTGTTCGCCGATAGTTTGATGGATACATTGACACACATTCACTCACACACACTACAGACTACGAGAGGCTGCTGGCGACGTACGACTGCTTCGTTCAGGAAGTCCAAATATGGGCATAGATTACAAGCCACTTGAATGAGGATCTTTCGTGCATTTCAAAGGTCAAGTGACTAGAAATTTTTGTGTTTTGTCAAATGCGCAATGGTTGTTATCCACATTGGTTCAATTAATATGCTTAAAGTAACCCGTGTGCTGAAATAAAAGTAACAAACCTGGGCCTATTTTATGCGTGTCATAAATCTCCATTCAATGATATGTTCTATTTTGATGTGAAAATGATTTAACTTGTTGAGATCGCAGGTTTTGGACAGGTGTGTTTACTGGTGTGGCCCCCGTGTGCATGTCTGATGTTGCACACTGTGTTCCAAGGAATACTCAAGGAAGTTTGTGTGAATGCTCAGACACATGGAACATTAGAGGGAATATTGCTTGCTGAGAGCGAGGTCAGATAATGGCAGTTATGCATAATTGTAATCAAAAATTATTCAAAAACATGAAACGCAAACTTTTCTTCAACACGGCAAATGATTCACTCAAATATCACTTTTTGGAGCAACAATGTGTCATGTCCAACCAACTGCATGTTATTTAAATGTAACCTTCAACACAAGGTTTTTCAGCAATGTGGCGTCCGAATACTGAGGGCACTAAGTAAAAAGCGTGTCACTGTGCACCCCTTGTAGCTCTCATTAAGTGCATGAATCCATCTATCCATAATCTGGATCGCTTATCCTTACGAGGGTCATGGGCATGCTGGAGCCTATCCCAGCCATCTCCGAGCAGTAGGTGGTGTACACCCTTATTACAAAACAAAATGACTCATTACAACCGTGTGATTGTACAGTGCAGTTTTTCTCAAGTGGGGGCTCGTGGACCTCTAGTTGTCTATGGTGTAATTGCATGGGGTCAGTGAAAATGAAATGTTTTAAAATTGTGCTATGACATTTATAGAAATAGGATTATATTACTCCCAAAAATATGAATCAACATGTTTGTCGTGAGATGATTTCCTTGATTATTATTATTTTTTTTTTTTGATGGCAGTGAAACAATGATGAAATCATGACGAGATGGTGTGCCAGTTTCCATTTACGAGTCGGGACTGGGCGAAAATGACGGAAGGTGTTCCGTCAGATGTTCAAAATGTTTGCTCACTGCACACCAATTTTTCAAAAGGAAGCCGAAATGATTAAGAGCTCTCAAATGGTAGTCGGTTCTAACAGCGCGCCCAGCTGCGACCATCTCATTAGGTTTGCAGGTGGCTGAAGCCGATCCCAGCTGATTTTGGGCAAGGGCGGGGTACACCCCAACAGGGAGAAGCTCATAGCTTGACTGCAGAATAGACGATGATGAGCAGTTTGACTAACCCGGATGCCGTAACATGATGTGACCCAAGCGGGCCAACATTTTTTTGTCGACATGTTTTTGTGGTCGACGTATCTGGCTGAGTTGACATTTTTTCCGACTCGCATATAGATTGTGAATGACCTGCGAAAAACCGCTGATATTATTGTGACTTAGTTGCAATGGTCTTTTTTGCATCTGTCATCAAATCAACGTAATTTATATGATATGTATTATGCGGCCCTTTTGGCCAGAAGGTGTGCCACAATGTCGAATGAATTATCACAAAGAATGTTATTACCATGTGTTTTAATACTGTGAGTAATCTTCTTCTCAAAAAAACACACACAACAGAAGTTTTGTTTCTTTTTAGAGACACTTATTGAATGAATTAAGTTCAAAAAGTCAAGGTACCACGACCACTATATTATTTTAGGTTAAACAGGCCAATGAGTAATTTCGATTTATATTCATAAAATTTGTTGTGCAAGGCAATTCCATTTTATTTTCTCAGACTAAATAGATTGATGGTTTTGGGAAATAGCTCTTCATACAGTAACAGGAGGGAGGTCTGGCTCCACAATGCGACCTGACTTCTGAGATGTAAAGAGTGTAGCTTTATTCTTGAAAACAATGAAAGCCCACGGATATCTGATCAGGATATTTGACCAGGTACATCTGGTAATATCTTGTGTTTAGATCAGCTCATGAAACATGTAGGTAAGTGACTGAGTAAGTCACATAAATTGTTTATTTGGCCTTAACCCTTTCAGGGACAGCGGTTACTACAGTGGACAGCTTATTATGTTACCAAATTACAGGGTAGGGCGGCCCGGTGGTGCAGTGCTTAATGCGTCGACCTTATAGTGCAGAGGTACCGGGTTCAATTCCGGCTCCGGCCTCCCTGTGTGGAGTTTGCATGTTCTCCTTGGGCCTGCGTGGGTTTTCTCCGGGAACTCCGGTTTCCTCCCACATTCCAAAAACATGCATTGAATATGCAGCTTGAACACTCAAAATTGCCCCTATGTGTAATTGTGAGCATAAATGGATGTTCATCTGTGTGTGGCTGTGATTGGCTGGCAACCAGTTCAGGGTGTCCCCCGTCTACTACCCGAAGACGGCTGGGATAGGCTCCAGCACCCCCCACGACCCTTGGGAGAATAAAGCCGATCGGAAAATGGATGGATGGATGGAAGTTAGAGGGTGCATGAAAGGGTTAAACATCGAGTGCAGCAAGTCTTCCTTTGTGTCTGAACAAATGCCAGAACTTCTTTCGAACTTGTGTTTGTTAGTGCAGTAAGCATAAATGGTTAAGTTGTAGCTGATAATTGCCTGTTAATTATTGTGACTCGTCTATTCACAGGTGATGTGTCACCCATCAGTATGTCCCCGATCAGCCAATCCCAGTTCATCCCTCTGGGAGAAGTACTGGTATTGGCTATCTCTGCTATGAACTCTGCGCACAAGCCTGTCACCCAGGAGGCCCTAACGGAACACCTGCAGACATGTTTTCCAGGTAACACCACTTTACATAAGGTAAAACCCAGATCATTCCCGCTGATATCAAAATGTTACATTAGTGTAGGAATAAAATTGTGATCCTGAGTTGTTATTGCCTTTTCCTATCCGTATACTGTATATTAAAGGCAGAATTCCACCAAGTGACACTGTTCAGAATGGTTTGTCACAATCTGGTATGCGAGGCTAAGAGCTGTTAGCTCGACTTTACATTGCTTTAGAGCAGGCGTGACCCCCCAAAAAATAAAGTACATACAATAGTTTGTGAGTTTGTGAAAATGAAGTCCCTGCCTACCTTAATAGAGACCTGACGCGGATGCACTTTTGCAGCGTGTTAACTGCAGAAACTATCGTACGTACGTGCACCGTTTTCAAATGCTTCTCCTGGCGCTCCAGATTCCCATTCTTTGCCAGTGCCATTGGTAAATTGCAGATGAAACAAACTTTGATTGAGAAAAAAAAATGATAATAAAAAATTAGATGGCGCAACAGCTTTGATTGCAAGCTGCAATTGCAGACTGCTGACCGCTAACAACTTCGGTGATGCAGATCATGTGCCACTGTAGGTTAAAAGTGACCCCCTTTTTTAAATTATTCATCCATTTTCCGATCCGCTTTATCCTCACAAGGGTCGCGGGGGGTGCTGCAGGGCACACACAGACAAACAACCATCCACGCTCACACTCACACCTAGGGACAATTTCGAGTGTTCAGTCAGCCTGTCATGCATGTTTTTGGAATGTGGGAAGAAACCGGAGTACCCGGAGAAAACCCACGCAGGCTCGGGGAGAACGTGCAAACTGCACACAGGGAGGCCGGAGCCGCAATCGAACCCTGCACCTCCGCACTGTAAGGTCGACGCGCTGGCCACCGTGCCGCCCCTTTTTGTAATAAAATTTTGTTAAATACTTTTAGTGTGAAAGTGAAACAGTGCACACCGCATCCTAACACAAAAATATAGAATATTTATAACACGCACACAGAAACACTTTTTTTTAAAAAAACATTTCCCCCTACACTCTTCGCGATTGACTTGAGACAGGTCCTCGGGGTACTGGTCGATCGTGATCAGCTGATTGGGCACCCCTGCATTAGAGAGAACGTGAACATTTTATTAAGATATGAAGTAAAGTTTTTAATCAAACCACCGGTAAATTAAAAAGGTGATGGTGATAAACAGAGCAAGTTATTAATACACGTTTTACTCAACAGCACAACAAATGTTGAACAACAACAAAACAAGTACAGTGAAACTCCTCGACAACGATAACATGTTTTCACAACAGGGGACTTTTCACTATAGCAAATTTTATCTCACATGTAAACACACACACACACACACACACACACACACACACACACACACACACACACACAAAAAAACGTATATGTGTACTCTTTATTTTTATTTCAATAGTGCATACGTATGAGCATACACTTATTTGACACCTCATATAACCAGTGTAGAAAGAAAAAAACGGGAAAGAAATTGCAAAATTTACGATCAGCATTCACTTTCACTTACATCAATTTCTTGCATAATGTCTTTTACTTTGCTTCCTCCATCTTTCATTTTGATCACTTTTACCCTGTCTTCAAGCGTCAGAGCTCTTTTCTAAACTCCTTGGCATGCAAAGGTCCGTTTTATAGCCATTTTAGCAATGCAACGTTCGTGCTGCGTCTGAAACTAACAATAAAAAATACTTCCTGTACTACTGCACATGTGTCAACCAGTGTGGTGGTTGCTGTTGCCATTTCGGAGCGAAGCAGTAGGAGTCGCTGTGTCAGGCTGAGGTCAGATTAGACTTTTGCGGAAGGCTTGTTTTCGTTGTAGTGAACCTCGTTGCGAGGCAAGGGCAGAGAAAAAGATTTCGTATTACGCAACAGGGGGACTTTTCGTTGTAGGGGGAGCAGAAAAGTGGGAATGGCTTCCATGCATGAAGATTTTTCACACTAGGGATATTTTCGCCCATGTAGGTTTCATTGTAGACGAGTTTCACTGGAACACAAAGTGAATTAGGCGCAGAAAAAAAAAGTAGTGTGTTTCCGGTAACCCGACCGACCGAGAATTTCTACGTCGAAAAAAGACTTTACGGTCGGCATTTTTGTCAAACAACCCTCTACATTTTTGTGTAGAGGGTTTACATCGGTGCAAACTCTCGATATATTCACGTTGAGCGCGTGCATTGTTTGCCCTGTCGTCTGTCAACAACATTGAAACATGGCGGCAGCCGCGATCTCCGACGACAGTTTAAACTGCGTTTTTTGTGTTACAGTCGCATGCTCGCACCGCAATGTTAAGAAATAGCATCCATTGATGTATCGAAAAAATAAAGCGAACTATTTGATGAACACCATGGGCCGAGTAAAAACCGAGGGCGGAGGAGGACGGCGGAGGAAGACGGCGGAGGCGGCGGCGTGCCCCGGCCCCCCGAGTCCGGAGCCGGGAGAAAACTAAATCAGCGGCGGCGGCGCCGGCCGCACAGCGGCCAGTTCAATGTCTTCTTGTTTTATGGTTATTTTGTTTAAATTTTTGATGGGGAAAAAAAAGATTAAACAAAAAAAGCTTTGTCCGACCTACCGACCCTATGCTGAAATTTCTTGTTAACGGAAACACACTATCTTTTTTGTTTGGCCTTACTAAAAATAAATTCCTTTGGAATATTCATTCACTTTCTGAACCACTTTTTTCCTCCCTCGAGTCGCGGGGGGTGCTGGAGCCTATCCCAGCCGTCTTCGGGCAGTAGGCGGGGAACACCCTGAACCGGTTGCCAGCCAATCGCAGGGCACACAGAAACGAACAACCATCCACGCTTACACTCACACCTAGTGACAATTTTGAGTGTTCAATCAGCCTGACATGTATGTTTTTGGAATGTGGGACGAAACCGGAGACCCCGGAGAAAACCCACGCAGGCCCAGGGAGAACATGCAAACTCCACACAGGGAGGCCGGAGCTGGCCCTTCGGAATAATGACTTAAAATGTAACCATAATTTTTAAGGTATTACCCAACTAACAGTGTGAGGGTCATTGCTACTCGCAAATGTGCATGATAAAAAAAAATGACACCATTGATCGCTGCTTTAGTCTGGTGGCCACTGGACTGGTTCCTAGTGGCTAAACTGCTCATGCAGTGTGTGCAGGCTGTCCAAACTGCACTCGCATCTTTCTACTTTATACATTATCAGTTGGGTGGTACTTGTTCAAGTAATTCAACAGGGTTGTTAAGTTGCCGTTTTTGAGGACATAAGCACCAAACGAACAATGGCGAGGAACTTCTGTGGTCAAAATAGCTTCATCTTTGGAAGCTAACACCATGCCATGCCCATCAGATGCGCGTTTAGTTGCATGTTTGGTCATTGTTTACCTCTTGCTCTGTATTAGTTTCTGGGTACTTCTTCAATTTGCAAATGAAAATAGAGCAGGAAAAGTCACCTGATTTGGTGCTGTAAGTAAAAAAAAAAATGCAAGGTAGGACGCTTGTATTTTACTCATTTTGCTAGCTCCTGGGTTTCATTTTAGCGGTACCCTGTCACGAGACTGAGATGCGCGTCTTGACCTGCATCAAGAGTGACAGTGTAGACAGATGTAACAGAATCCGGGTTTTTTTTTTTCAAAATAAAACATCTTTGAGATTCTGAAATGAATAAAACAGAAGTAATCTAAGTTATTTATTCTTTCTGTGTGGCCTGGTACCTAATGAACCTCGGACCAGTACCGGTCGGTGGACCGGGGGTTGGGGATCACTGCGTGAAGGTGCAGATGTGATTCGGTCTGCAATCTGGTCAATGACAAATATCATATCATGTTCTTTCTGTTCCACTCAACGGACCATTTCATTCTTACTTTTGGTCACCATGGATAACTTTGAGTCAACATTGACAAGTCAATCGCATCTTGCAGAATGGTGAACTTTTTTTCCATCAATACAACACTTGATTGGTTAGGTAGTTTAACAGTTCCATATGCCTTTAAGGTTTTGTTTTTAATCCTTATATTTAGGTACGGGCGGCCCGGTGTTCCAGTGGTTAGCGCGTCGACCTCACAGTGCAGAGTTCAATTCCAGCTCCGGCTTCCCTGTGTGGAGTTTGCATGTTCTCCACGGGCCTGCGTGGGTTTTCTCCGGGTACTCCGGTTTCCTCCAACATTCCAAAAGCATGCATGGCAGGCTGATTGAGCTCTCGAAATTGTCCCTCGGTGTGAGTGTGAGCGTGGATGGTTGTTCGTCTCTGTGTGCCTTGCAATTGGCTGGCAACCGGTTCAGGGTGCCCCCGCCTACTGCCTGAAGACGGCTGGGATAGGCTCCAGCACCCCCCGCGACCCTTGTGAGGATAAGCGGATCAGAAAATGGATGGATGGATGGATGGATATTTAGGTGCAATAATCTCTGCATGACCGCATAATGTTAGTCAGTTTGCTGTTGCATTTCTTGTATTTTACTTCTGCCTCGTTTGTATTTTATACGTTGCTTCTGGTTTAAACTTCTTAAACAATCTGCCCCAGAAAAGTACCGATAAGCGCAAGCCCTTGCGTGTGCGTGCATGACAATGAATGACTGGGACACGCTTTGGCCACTCCTGTTAGACCAATCACCGATAGGCTTTTCTTGGCACGGTGTGACAAGTTTTGAAATACAGTAAAGCCCTCTTATATCCAGTTCAGTTTTCACAGTCCCAGTATTTTAGCAGCTAAGACAGTTTCTCGTTTATGCAGACTCGATCGTCGATATTAGGGCGAAACGAGATATCAACGCAATTACAAAAAAAAAGCGTACAACTACACAATGTGATGTACACTACATATTGTTGGGTGGGTGCCTTGTACCTTCAGAATCGACACTTTTCAAGAGACCCCAAAAACGGCATGATTGTTCTTCCATTAACATTGCATCATCAAAGGTAGCAAGCCGTTTTCAACGCTTTAGATTGGTCGCTAATTTGTAAAAATAACACTCATGCATGAGGACGGACCAGTCGTATCGATTTGGGGAAAAAATATGAAATTGAACAAATTGTTACATTGGAGGTTCCAGCCCAATGCCAGTGATATGTCTCATGTTGTAAATTACGAATTGTTGCTGCATTATACAGGTATGATTGGGGACTGAATTTTGTGTATTTTACATCAAGCGCCTTGTTTGCGAAGCGAAGAGGTCCTCAGGAAGATGTGTTGCAGTCGTTCGCCACCGTGCTAGTTCAACATAAATGTACAATGTGGGCAGTTTTTTGCTCTCTCTCAATTTATTTATCTGCTTCAGCGTGATTGTATTGTTTTGAAAGTGTGTTGAATGACCTTTAAAAAAAAAAAAAAAGTTCCACGAATGATAAAAGAACATGTCTAGGGTGTATTTAAAAAAAAAAAAAAGGGTACCGGTATTTATACAAAAATCAAATTAGAGGCATAAGATGGGGCCACAGAGGACTATTATTATTATTAAAGCAATCAAAGGATTGCTTTAATAATATTCATACAGACAGCTTGAACATATACAGAATGACAAAAGATTGTCTTTTTTTTTTCCTGCAAGCTCCTCCTTTAAGTTGTCTTGAAATGTCCAGTGTCTTCATTACTTTCCATTTGACGACAGTATTTCAAAGGTTTCATCAACAGAAAATCCTTTCTTTCCTCCATTACATAAACATTTTGACTAGCTTCATAATGTGGAACATTAGATTCTCCTTCTGCAAGATTTCCATCTGATAGTGGCGAAATGCAAAAATAAATAAATCAATAAATAAATAATAGTCGCGTGACATACAGTGTAGGCATTAAATCGAAATTCATCACTTGGATGTGCAGTGTAAAGGGAACCAAAGAGGCCTTTTTTAAAAAATGAGAATGAGTCAGATTTTTTTGTTGCATTTTCGTTTTTCTCTTTTTATGTTGCCATGCCACATATCCGAAATGTTCCCCTTGGGAATGAAAAAAAACCCAAAACAGAATTCTGTCATTTGAACCATGAAGTGTCAATCAAGCCTAAGAAACCATTTTACATTTGTTCAGTGCACTCATTATTTCTGTGCAATTTTAGAGATTGTCACTGAAAACGAAGCACAGTTTCAGACACGAATGTACACACAGTTACGAGCAGACGAGTGCATGCACACACACACACGCACGCACGCACACACGTACGCGCGCGCGCACGCACACACACACACACACACACACACACACACACACACACACACACACACACACACACACACAGTCTGAGTCCATAAGCATGTGTGTCAGAGCGCTGGATTTTCCTCGTTAGTGAATTTGCATCATGTTACCAAAGCAACTGCATTTGCATGATGTAATGAAAGGAAACATAAAAACGCCAAACACACGTGCACACGCATTCATGGACACGCACGCACACACACACACACACACAAACAAACACACAACTGTCTGTCTAGCAGCTGGCATTGGGTTGACATTCGTATTTGAGTCGTTTCCTCAGACTGATTTCACAATTCTGACATCTGATCATGATAATTACCAGAAGGAAATGTTTGATTGACAGCGGTACAATCTAGGTACTGTATGAGATTATTTTATAATGTGTGACATTTGCTAAGCGCGTTAATCTGATATTCAGCTTAAGTACAGGTAGTTGGTTTCATATACCATACAGAGTGTATGAACATTTTCATGACTTGAAATAATGTAAAATGTAATTACTGTCCAAATGAGTATTATTAAGGTGAGACACAATTTCATCTCATGCCGATTTACCCACAAAACGAAAGTGTTCGGATGTGTACAATTGTCTTATTTGTACTTGTTTGTACTTTTATCCAAGGGGTGCCAAAGGTAACGTGTGTGTGTGTGTGTGTGTGTGTGTGTGTGTGTGTGTGTGTGTGTGTGTGTGTGTGTGTGTGTGTGTGTGTGTGTGTGTGCGCGCAGATCAATTGTTGGGAGGTGAACATTTTATCGTTACGTCTTTCGGGAAATGAATGCAAATTGTTGAAGAGTTGGTGTGTGCGTGTGTGCCCAGTTTCATGCATGCATACTGCACTGCAGCAGCTTGTCTGTGTGCATCAAGTTGCATCATCCTGCCTGGGCCAAGAGGCTGCTGTGATGTAAGTGCCAGTAATACCAGCAGACTGATAAAGTGAGAGAGAACGGAGATAGTGAGAGAGATGAAGAAGTTAGAGGGAGGGGAGCAAGCGATTTGGGCTTGACCATTTGGGTAGGAGCAGTATGGCCTATAAATAATATTGCCATCAGACATTTCAATTGTCGGGTTTTAGTACTGGCCAGCAATCGTGAGTCTGAAGGGCCTGGGAAGTTTACATTGATATAGCAGCACAAAGAAGTTGGATTAAAAAAAAAAAAAAAAAACACACACACAAAATGACTGAAAGCTTGTCAGTCACGACACTGCTATTAAATGGAGACAAAATGCAGTTGGAAATAAATTTTTACAGATTAGTTGAACAGAAAAGCCTTTGTACTGTAAAAAATCTTGCTCTGCCTTGCTCAAATGCTGTGTTTTGTAATATGAAAACAATTGATGAAGATAAATCCTTTTTTTTTTCATGTGACCTTCAACCGGTCTGACTCAATTGAAAAAATTCTTTTCAAGGGAAACTAAACTTTTCAAAGTCAAAATAAACAACTAAGGTAGTGGTTGCTCAGTTGTGCACACAGACTTAGAACCTCTTAAATAAACTGACAATCATCATATTCAAACACATGATAAATGGGATCCAGCACACACCTGGAAGTGATTCACAGTAGCCTTTCCTTGACTTTTTTGGGGGCTTTTTCCCCAGCAGGCTGAAGGGTTTTGTGCGCTCACCATGACTGGTTTTGGGAAATTGTGGACTTGGTTTTGTTCACATAAGTTCCTTCTCATTGACTAAAGCCCAAGCTCCAGCTAAAGACATCCCCTAAAGCATGATGTTGCCACCACAATACTTGTAGGTATTGTGTTCTTTTGGTGATGAGTGGGGTTTGGTTATGTGTTGTGGCCAAGAAAATATAGGAAAATTAAAAAAAAAGAAAATAGGTTTTATTTAAAATAAACAAAAAACAAAAAGTCATCTTGGCTTGGGTAGTCTGCAGGTTATTTGTGACCCGAATGAGGACAAGCGTCATCGGAACTTGATCCATACCAACGACAATGAGATGAAATTCATTCCCCACTCCGCTCTTTGTTTGTTGCACCGACTCAAAAAAAAAGCGTGCAAGTGCAATCCAATAAAAAGGCCCTAATAATTGGATTAGTGTGACTTGCCCCTTTTCCAACTAATTCTTGTTTCAACCTTTTCTCAGGTGTTCCCACCCCAACGGAGGAGGTCCTGCACCACACACTTAACATGTTGGTCCGTGAACGGAAGATCTACCCGACACCTGACGGATATTTTATCGTAACTCCTCAAACTTACTTCATCACTCCAAGCCTGATCCGAACTAGCTCCAAGTGGTACCACTTAGATGAGCGATCCGCTGACCGGCACCAACAGCCGCAACATCAGAATCAGCAGCAGAATCAGCAGACTCAGTGCACTTCTCCTCTCTCTGGCACCATCACCCCATCCACTTCTGGCGGCGTGCGAGATCGAAGTCACCCGAAATCCAACCAGAACCACGGTGGGGGAGGCGGAGTTGTGGATTCCTTTTTCAACAACACCTACCGTGGAGACGACCCCCCCAGTCACCACACAACTCTGCAGCTCAGATCCCCCAAAGACCACCGGGAGGCATATTCGTCCCCGCACTCTCCACAGTCGCCTCCTCAGCCAGCGGGAGGCAACGCCGAAAAGAGCCGCAGCACCCTCGGGTTCCCCTTCAAGACGGACACGCTCACAAAGCATCGTGGAGGAGGAGGGGGAGGAGGTGGAGGAGGGACTGGTGAGCTCGAGAAGCAGCCAGGAAGCGGTACAGCGAGTCGTAAGTTTGGATTGAAGCTGTTCCGTCTGAGCTTTAAGAAGGACAAGACCAAGCAGCTGGCCACCTTCTCAGCACAGTTCCCCCCCGAGGAGTGGCCCCTTCGTGATGAAGAGACACCCAGCCAGCTCCCGCGTCATATAGAGATGGAGATTATCCGCAGAATCAACCCCGATCTCACCGTGGAGAACCTTGCCCGGCATACGGCAGTCATGAAGCGCCTTGAGGAGGAGCGTGCACAGAGGAGCAAGGCATCATCAGCCAATCACAGTTCAAGGAGCAGAAGGAGTGGGGGAAGACATAGGAAGCAATCTCAGACCAAACTTAGCCGCTCGCATAGTAAGACAAGGGTGGCTCGGGGTGAGCAGAGCGAGAGTTCCCATTTGGAACTAACGGACAGGGACTATCGAGCTTACTCATCATCACTGGCTCGGTCACCGAGGGAACACGCCATGGCCATAGAGCGGCAGCGGACGCGTCTTCATCTGGCACATAGCAACCCGAACATCCTTGACTCCTCCCACCTACCTGTCACGCCAGAGTGGGACGTGTCCGGAGAGCTGGCCAAACGACGGACGGAAATGCCTTTCCCCGAGCCGAGCCACGGCCCATCGGCGCACCACTCAAAAGTCCACCGCTCACACTCACACACGCAGGAGAGGAAGTCGAGGAATGAACGCAGCGACAAAGCCAAGGAACGCTCCAGATCCATGGAAAATTCAAAAGGACCTCTTGGAGCCGGCTTAATTGGACCACCCAGTTACTACGACGATCGAAGCCGTTACTACACCGACGACGGAACCTTACGAGCCAATCAGAGCTCTTGTCACTACCCTCATGCCACTCCCCCCTCGGCCAAGCAGCCCGGGGAATCGCTCGTATTGGATGGCGGCAGGAGTTTAGAGAAATGTAAGAGTCGGGACAGTCTGCCAACGTACTCTCCTAAACCACAGCACAACTCCGTCCCTCCCGATGGCTACTTCCAGTGCTCCGGTTCGTCTGAGGCTGTGCTCACAGCTCCAAGCCCGCTGGGAACTCTTGGCAAAAGTAGCCAGGATGGGTTGAAATTGGGCTTCGCTGACAGGCAAACAGAAAGGCAAACACCACATCCTCCAGAAATGAAGGAAGACTTTTCCAAAGTGGGACCTAAAGGTGGCAGCCTGCCTCCAATACCTCTCTCGACGCCAGATCCTCCCGTTTCGAATGCGCGACCTCCCCACGGTGCCTCCTGTGGTCAAGAAAAACGTAAGGAGATTTTTAGTAAAGATACACTCTTCAAACCACCTCCTAGCCTTCCTTTGCCAGGATACAGCTCCTTGAGGAAAACCCCTGTCCTTGCCTCCTCCACTCTGTCTTCATCCTGCGATGCACTTGATTCCCAGGAGGCCTTCGATGCGCCCAAACCTCTGGTTGCGACTCCCTCCGCTCCTATACAAGGGAGTGAACCCACAACCAGTGCTGCAGAGGCCTCCTTTGACTATTACAATGTTTCAGATGACGACGAAATTGAGGAGGGAGGAACTAAAAGTCGAGGGGAGGACGGCAAAACTGGCGGAGGTGGTGTTGGAATGGGAGGCGGTGGAGCAGGCACCATGCAGTGGCTCTTGGAGCGAGAGAAGGAGAGGGATCTACAGAGAAGGTTTGAAAGAACCCTCACCTTCCCTGGTGCTAAAGAGAACCTTCCGGAACCCAGTCAGAATCACCAGTCGGCGCACTCTGCCAGACTGGACAGTATGGACTCCAGCTCAGTTACTGTTGACAGCGGATTCAACTCGCCAAGGTAAATGTTGGCATGTGTGCCAGCACTTGTACATGCAGTAACATTGTTTTCTGATTATGCCATTGGAATAGCCACACATTTATACAGTGGAACCTCGAGTTATGAGCGTCCTTCTTTATGAACAATTTTTTGGAAAAGAAAAATTCCCATTTACGATATACAAAGGGCTTCGGCATCGACGGAAGGATGGATCTATGCTGTGCTTCTTCTTACGCTGCATAACCATCATTGGAAACGTGCATAACTGAATAGTCGTTTTATCCTTGTGTGGCGTGAAATCCGTTGCAAGTTCTGCCTCCGCATCCTCGATCAGCTAATCATAAATGATTGACGCGATAGACTAATGGAAAGCTCAAATAAGTTCATTTTTGTCATTATGTATCTCAAATTATTGAACTGCAGCGTATATTTAATTCTGCAACAAGTGGTTAATGTCGCTGTAATCATGTCAAAATAGCCGCCTGTGCATGTTATTGTACGGGGTAAGTTCCGACTACATACAATACATTACCCTAATAGTAGATGCCAGCAGCAGCTGTGTTTTTATGAACGGATGTAGGAGGAAGTCCCACGTTGAACTTCTGCAAAACAAGTCAACAAAGCGCATCACAGTCAAAATGGCTCCTCGCAAAACAACAAAGTCAACAAAGCGCATCACAGTCAAAATGGCTCCTGAGAAAAGGGAAACTGCAAAAGCGCTTATCATAGATGAGCAGAAAGATCTGTGCTCTTCTTCTCGCGTTGTATAACCAGCCTCTGCATCACGCAAGGCAAGGTGGACACCCGGACTGTGTCAATGTTGTTGTTTTGGTATTTATGAGGCTGACGAATGTGAGTACCCGGACTGTGTCAATGTTGTTTTGGTATTTATGAGGCTGACGAATGTGAGAGCTCACTGGTGATAGTGTGGGTGGCGCTACCAATAAATGATCAGAAGTAATGTGTAGCAAATCAAAGGCCCACCTCCACCCCTGAAACTATCACGATTAGCCTTTCCATGGCAATTAGGGCTCTATAACATATTAAAAAACAAAAACATTGTTGTCTCGTTATGGCTCATGCAATGTGCATATGGCAGAGACGTGCAATAATTTAAGACTTTGAGAATTATCTGACTTTGAATCAGATGCAACCTCAAATTCGTATCGCCATCCAATAGGAGAACAGTACCTAGGGACATGTATACAGTGTGTGCACATATAATCCCCTTTCCCACCGAAAGTTCCAGGAAACACAAAGTTCCTGTGGACCAAGTGGTTTGCAACTCAGTTTTTGGTAGTTCAAGCAAATGAGACAGATGCTGTATTCAGGGGGGAATTGTTGTGTTACTTGGTCACTCATTACTGACACCCGATGGCTTTTAAACATCATTGCGGTTAACAGAAAATACTTCAGTGACCTTTAAAGGGTCGTTGTGTAGAGATTTAGCATTATTTATATATATATATA